AGAGCAAAAAAAGGAGGTTGGGTATAGCTCGTTGGTGATTGTTACTAAACCAGAAATGGGCAGTCCAGTCCCCTTTGCCTTTATATATAATACTAGCTGCTGTAGGAATGCTAGCGGGGCCCGAGAGTGAGCCCCAAGGCATGACGGGACAGTCGTTTCCCGTTAGGCGGTCAGTGAGCGACCCTTTACCATTATTAGTAATTATCTTAGAAAACCTACATAAATCTCCATTCCTATATTAACTTTTTTCAAAAGTATATCAAACAAAAATCCCGATTAACCTGTCTCCACGGTCGTCAGCTTAGATACCCCTTTTTGTCACCAATATTGCCTGTCTATCGCCTGATATACCTTTGCTAGGGGCCAATCATTGAGTTTAGGTTCTATGAGATCTTGCGCTGTCCTATAAGCGTTTTTAAATTCCTCATACTCTTCTGCTAAGCTGACAAATAGACATGTTATCTTCGTCCTAGGTTCAAAGGAAATCGAACGGTTTAGTCCTCCGGACGTCGTTCTGAGGCAACAAGAGGATGATCAGGACCAACGGCAGCAACGCCATCCAGAAGAGGAGGTGGAGGATATTGGTGAGCATTACGATAATGACGACAACGGACAGCTGACCAGCGAGTCGAGCCAAGACGCAGATTTAGCTGACGAAAACTCTGATGCGGCCATTGACCCCATGATACTGAAGTATATGGCCATTGTGAAGGAGCAACAGCAAAGCCTGCAAAAGCAGCTGCAGCAGCAAAAGGACTCCGAAGAAGGGAGAGGATCAAAGGAGGGGAAAGGGTTCGATGCACAGGAGCATCCTGCTACTGCAAAAAAGCCGACACTTGAGGACTTCTTGACCAATGATCAGGTGAGCAACGGTTTGGGGTGGGGGAGAGGAAGACTGGCAAGTAGAGCAAAACGCAAAGGTGACTCAAGAACCCAGCCGCAAGTGTTCTGCTTGGTATTCGCAAAGATTTTTGCGAACTAAAGACTGTTGATTTCTGGTAGAATATACATTCACCTCTCGGGATTCGCCGGGATAAGTATCCCCTGCATCACCATAAAATTATCAGTAATCTTCGTCTTAAAATCGTAATTTTCACCACCATCACTTAGTTTCGCTACCGACTTCGGCGCTTGGAGCGCAATCCAAATAAGAAGCTTCATTATATAGGATGGAATATCGGCAAAGACTGAGGTCGAAGTATCTGCGCCACATTTGCCAAATTAGATTGCTCACAGAGGGGGGGGGGTGAGCAGGGCTACGACAGAACATGTGGGTAGACAGATGCAGGATTGGTTTGGGCTTATTCGGCCTTCATTTAGCCAATCACAAGGCTGACCACCACTTGCGCTCATTTACTCGTACAGGGTGCAGAGGATCCGCAGGCGGTGTCTACCAGGTAGCTCATAAACAATTCATCAAACTGAAGTCTGCTGCTTTTTTTTCATATTTTAAAGAAAAAAGAAGAGCGCCCCTCAGTTGGATTGCTTAGGAAATTGAAAATTTTTGATCTTATTTACAGTTCGAGTCCGACCGCAGCGCACGACCCGAGTCTGTCCTCGCACCCCGTCCGACCTCGAAGTCTGCGGATGAGCAAAGGTGAGAAGTTTGCTTATGCCTTCTACAACTTCATTATTGCCCATTTTGATATGATTGTCTTCTCTGAGCACACTTTATTGTCTACCCTCGCATGCCTACTCATTTAATTTAGGTAGGTTTGTTATTTTAATTTTACGTTTGTGCGTAGGCTTAAAAATACTTCGGGGATATGATAAGGTTGAGGTTGGGTAAAAGAAAAGAGCAAGGTTAAGTGTTCGGGTTGTGATGAGGATTAAGGTTAGTGTCAAGATTAAGTTTGTTTACCGCAGACCGGATAACCCAGCACAACCTTCTTTAGTCAATAACTTTGGATTTCCTGTTCTCTCTCCTTTTACATGCCCCCTAATTTGCATATTTCATATTAAGCGTCTGTTCTAACATCTCACTAGAGTAATAAAACAAACTTATGTTAGAACTGCG